TTTGGAAAAATTATGTTCGTTTCTATTACGTACTGCGTAGTTCATTCTTAAGCAAATGAACAATGATCAACTCAATAATGAAAAGAATGTAGTCTATAACAACAATAAAGTCATATCTCATTAAGTTGGATTGACTGTATGAATTCTATAACATTTTGTGCTTGATTTTACGTTAAATCTTATGTTAGTTCCAAGTGCTTCAATTCTTTTTTTAAAGTCTTTTTCCAAGTTTTCATAGGTAAAGTCAGGATGACTAATCCAATCTTTGAGAAACGGTCTCTTATTAACTCTCTAACTCTTATACATAGAAGATGAAAATCAATATTTTTTACTACGAATTCATATATAAGTTGTTTTCTTCCACTCATATAATTATTTGATTTAATTCATCAATCCAAATAATGAATAAAATAGAAAATATCTACCTAATTCATTTATGATCCGAGTTTATTTTGTTTTTACCATGAATAATTTTCTTTTGTTACCGCTAGTCATAGTTTTGTCATATCAAATTGATGGAAAAAAAAAAGAATATCTTTATATATGGATCATCATAAGACTTTGACCGCACTTAGGGTCCTTAAACCAATTAATAAACAATATCGAATTAACTCTACCTCTTTTATCTTGAGTCTTTATCTTATGATTACATTTTTTTAACTGGAGCATCGGTAAGTTTTTGTTTCACATGTCCAAATTATTTTAATCGATTTTCTCTCATCTTATCTTCAATTGCAGCCCTCCTACTTTACCTCAGATACTCTCATTTTTAATCCTGTCATTTCTTAGTCCTATAATCATAGCTCATTTTTTGTACATACTGATAATTAACCATCCACTCTCCCAGACCCTGCGTAAAGCGGGAGCCTTGTGCACTGGGTACGACCTTTTTACTGATAATTAACCATCCAGCATTCCGTGTCCTATATAGGATTATTACCACTACGTACGCGTTCAGCATCAAGAATTGCCTACAACAAAACGTAGTGGAATCTCAATACCCAGCAAGTTGTGATCCAGTCTGTAAAATCAAAATTCAGCCTAAAAAGTAATCATTTTGTTGGTTACGATAGTCTTCTTTTGAACAAAAATAGAAGATCAACACCGAAGCCAAAACCTCCACGCCTCCACCTCCAAAAAACATCAAAATCTCCTCTGCTTCAGGTTTTTTTGCAGCTTCTGTAATCTTAACAGAATTCATGAAATCAACACACGATCGCTTATTTGTTAGCTATTATGCAATGCACGTTCAACATGATTTGGGGAGCGTTTATAAAATAATTTTCCTTACTAAAATTTTATGAGATTTAAATAGTTATTTTATATTAGAATATATAATACATTTAGTAACAAATTTTATGTAGGATGTATTTAACAATATATAGGGTGCTAATAAATAAACACTTTTGGAAGCTCAATAATTTAGAGAGAAAAAAAAAGAGTGATGATAAACTCACACCACTGTCTTATTTCTCCACCCACCTTTTAATAAAAAAATTTAATACCAAATTCACTCTCTTGTAAAATGACATCTAAGACCAAAGAAAATAAAAACCCCTGCTTTCTAGGTTGACAGGTTCGTTTTTCCCCATCTTCTAGAACAACCCACCTCTCTAAATCTTCAAAAAATTAAGCCCCATTACCTTTGGCCATTTTAATTTGATATGTTTGTTTTGTTGTCAGTAAACAATCCACATACCGATTATTGTGGGAGGCACATATGAAGTGGAACACGGTGTTCTCGGGGTGGGTTGAGTGCTGGAGGATGGAGAAGACGCTGGGAATTGTGTAAAATGTATTGGATAGATGAGATCCTTGTTGTGCATCTTGATCAATTGAGTCGTGTCTTTGTCGATTTTGTTTTACTCAATAAAAATAAAAATAAAAATAAAAATAAAAAGAATTTCAATATAAAGGTTATTTTAGAAATAATAGTTTGTGGGAAGATAACATTTTAAGTTTTTAACTTTTTGTGGTGGGTGAGATTATAATGTGGGTGGAGAAATAGGACACTGGGCTGGGTCTAGCACTAAAAAAAAAAAATTACCTTGTTACACTATAAAAAAATTCACTTCTAAAAAAAAAAATTTTACCTTGAATTGTTTTTTTTTAATAAATTAAAATAATGGTTGTTCATCCTAATTTACGAGTTTATCTCTTATTTATTTTTTTTATATTTTATTTTAAACAAACGATATTAAGGTCAAAATTAAACTTAAGACCTCTCACTTTTAAGTAAGAGGATACCACTAGACCGTAGTACTAAGTAGCTTTTTCTTCTATTTTGAAAACATATTTAGCAACAATTTTGACACTTATCTTTTAGTTTTTGCAATTCAAACTAAATGACCGTGCTTTCAAAAAAAAAAACTAAATGACCGTACGAAGATAATTCTACGCACTTATGAATCAAACATAAATTTTAAGATAAACCCTAGATGGTTACGTAATTGTAGACTACGTTATTAGATAAACTTCAAATATTATGTCGTCATAAGGATTTAAGCTTAGGTTTTTAATCACTTAATACTACGATCTAATAATATTTATTTTAACTTGTAACTAAAATATTTTAAATTCGAATCTCGTGACCATCTCATTTTCTTTAACGTTAGTTTTAGTTTAATGGTGGTGTAAGTACTCATTAACCCACACCACTAAGATACATTAGTAGTAGATATGGAACATCACATGTGGGCATGTGACTATCGTGGGGACTGTCATGCAAAATACAGAAACAACTAGTCCACACCCTTCTTAATATTACTAAATAAATCCAAAGCCTCGATTCCAAAACTTGCTTCCTTGTCCTACCAAATAATTCCAACCTACTCAATTGCCAACATCAAACGTTAAAAGTGAGTAGTTTCTCCTTCCCTCACCTCATCCTCGATTATTTGGAAAGTTGATTGAGCTACGTAGCTGTTTGTGGAGTTAGATTATATCCCTCCCTTGTGGACGAGGGAACATCCAAATAAAAAAAGTGTACCACAAGAATAAGCGCGTGAGTTTGATAGATATAACCATGTTAACATACTATGTGTATATACATGTTTATTGATAGATATAACCATGTTAATATGCTATGTGTATATACATGGTTATACAATATATAGCTAATCCAACCTAAAACTTTGGGTGCAAGAATTAATGGTTCTAGCCGCTTAAGCTATAAGCCACTTGCCAAGGGCTGAAGAACGTAAGAGATTTTCACTAAATCACATAATGCGCCAACCATCAAACTTGTCATCATAGAAGTTGAACTTAAGACCTCCCATATACAAGTGAAATGATACAATATTGTGTGTTATCTTTTGTTGTATCATAATGTCTAACAAGTTACAATGAGATTTGTTCCTTTATGGTACCTTTATTACTAATTAACTAGCCCTTTTTAGCAAGTGGTGGATTGTCTTAGGCCTTGTTTGGTATTGTATTTTTTTCATCAAAAGCTGCTTCACTTGAAAGTTAAGAAATAAAAGTGTTTGGTAAAAACAAAATATCCTGCTTATTTTAAAAGTAATGGCCTTCATACAACTTTAAATAAGAACTTGTAGGTTGCTTTTATAAAAACCAGAGTTGAGTCTTTAATGAATATTTTCAATTCCTTTAATACCCTCATTAGTTACAAAATGACATTATTTATCCTTCTATACATTTTATCCCTTGGAGAACAAAATGACTGCCACTAACACCATAACTACCATAACCACCACCACTGTTGTGGCCACTGCCACCACTACCACAACCGTCGTTGCTGTCATGGCCGCTACTATCGTTGTTGCCATTGCCATTGCCACCACAATCGCCATCTCCGCCGCCCCTACCACCATCTCCGCCGCCCCAACCACCATTGTTCCTTATGCACCCCAACCACCACACCCCACTATCCCACTATTGACACCACCAACATACCCCCCACAATCTCCGCTACCATCATCATCACCGCCACCACCATTGCCACCACCATCGCCCCCACTACCATGTCCAATTTTTCCATTATACAATTATATCACTTTTATATTAAAATTTACCAAATGCTTTTCCACTTCTTTTCGTACTCATAACACTTTTAAAAATACAGTTTACCACATGCCAAACTGCTGGTTTTAGAGTTGATTATTTTTAAAGTACATCCACTTCTTTTCGTACTCACAACACTTTTAAAAATACAGTTTACCAAATGTCCAACTGCTGGTTTTAGAGTTGATTATTTTTGAAGTACATCAAAGCAGTTTAAAAAAAAATGCAGCAATCCCAAACTTGCTCATAATGGATAAGGACTTACTTTGCAACCCGCTGCGTCTCAAGTTCAAACCTTCCCCCTTTCCTTATTTTAGTTTAGATTAGTAATATTGCTTATAATAATAAAAAAATTGTAACATTTATCATGTCAATTAATGGAAAATCAATAATAATAATGGGTAACAAACATAAATTTTTCTAAGGGATTAGGGCATGACAAATGCTAATCAAGGTGATTAATTAAGGTAACATAGTCTAAGAGGTCTAATTTAGAGGACAATCAACAATTCATACCATATGTTGGCGAATCAAAAGTGATCGAATATTGAAATTAAACATTAAAGACATAATGTTTCACATTTTGTAAGCGTCTGTTAACCATTAGTGTACGTAAAATTTATCACTTATTAGCACACAAAACAAAAGAAGATAGTATATTTAATGACCTATAATATTTCCTAAGTTACTTATGTATGCCTTATTTGGTCGGATTATACACAAACAACATAATTTAATAGAAAAGACTAGGGACATTAATTGGTATTAGAATTATTCACTATAAAGTGAGAGAGATTCTTGACAAATGGATAGCTCTTGACATGAAGGCTGAAGCAGTGGCCCCCCCCGTGTATGTTCATGTCTTTACTTGTATGAATAATTCTTTAAAATAATACCTACATTTTAACTCACTTGAGTAACTTCCAAGACACACACTCACTCTCATATCTGGTTGTCTCGTGGTCAATTTCTTGTGACATTACCTCTCTCTCTCTCTCTCTCGGGAATAAGAAGTTGCAATAGAACTCGAACAAAAAGAAAGAGAGAAAAAGGTCTCGATCACCCCACCATTCACCGCCACAGCACCACCACCACACCCTCCTCAAATTTCAACGCCAACCCAATAATAATCACTCATCCCTCTCTTCAAAGCAACCTTCTTTCCCCCCCCCCCCCCCAACCACTTCGTCACCACCAAACCAAACCCACCTCACCTTCTCTCTAAATAACCAAACCCCCATTTCACCTTTTCTATTATTCCTCTCTCTCTGTTGCTTCTTTCGTTTGTTTTAATATTATAGTTCAGCTCACAACAAAAGCAGCATGGCTCGGCTCTTCCGATCCAAATCTTGCGATCTCGTCGGACTCACCGAGTTCAACATTCCTCCTCCGAGTCCATTTTCCCACTACCACAACACCAGCAAAGAAGAAGAAGAAGAAGAAGAAGAAGAAGAATATGAGGAGTTGGGTTTTGAAGACGAGCAGGAGGTTGTAGGAAATCCCATGTCTGCCCCATTTCTGTATCCCACGATTAGAGCCAGTGGGAAGAATGAAGGTCGAGACTTTCAGGGGCATAACGGTCAACAGCAGCAGGAGCAGCACCAGTTTGCCATACTCGACATTTTGGTGGCGGCTCTGAGGAAGTCTTTGATAACTTGCAGCGTGGAGAGGGATGACGTGGCATCGTCTATCGACATCAGTTCTCCGACTGAGGTGAGGCATGTCTCGCATGTCACTTTTGATAGGTTTAATGGGTTTCTGGGTTTGCCGACTGAGCTCGAGCCTGAGGTCCCCAGGAAGGCGCCAAGTGCCAGGTCAGAGCCCAACTCCTTTTTTCTTTTTCCAATTTTCTCCTTTGGAATTTGTTGATGGTATATTTGTGGGATTTTCGGAATTTGTGAAGTGACTTTATGTGGAATTTTGGGACTTTGGATTTGTTTGAAGTACAAATTGTCTGAATTTGAAAACTTTGACTTATTGAAGTTCGGGAGTTTCTATGCATAGCATATACCGCGATCCTTGGCCGTTGGATTCTTGATCGCGCATCCATTTCGTGAGCACGTCATACGTCCAAGCATAGTAGAATTTTCGATAAAGTTCATTCACACTTGCGTTTCGTTCGTGAGAGTTTTTACTAATTGTTTTCCTTTCTGCAGTGAAAATGGAAAAAACTAGTGGCATTATATTGTTATTTTGCAAACTTGTAAATTGGTTTTTATGATTTTTTTGGTATCCCGGCTTGTATAGGTTGGTCTTTTTTATTCTGGATACACAAGAACAGTTACCATAAGATGGTTTCTTGTCCAGCAGAGTCGGTTTGAACGAGGTTGTGAATTCCCATCTTGCGTTAGTCACGAGTTCCGTTACTTCTTTAATCGATCTCCGCAAGAACAGAGTTTTACTGTACTTGGAATTGCCCGATGATGTTGATTTAGATTCATATGTGGGAGGGAATTTAGAGGCTAAAAAAGGATGAGGATATGGATTTTGGGAAGTACAAAGATGTGATTCGGACAGAGGCAATCGAGTTCAATTGTTTTACATTTACAGACCGAATAACATCTGCTTCCTGCTGTATGCCTGTACGATAGCTTTTGTTTTATCCTCTCTTTTTCTTATTTTGGATAGGGACTTAGGCGGATAAGGGAAAGTAACATGGAGGATTTATTATTTTAGTTTTTGGTTTATAAATGTTGGGTGAAGTGGTTCCAATCGTCAATGCAAACCATTTGGTCTCTTCAATTTGTAGTGGCAATGTTTGAAAATGACCTTATCTTGCAAATTGAATTGCATAGGGTAGCACAATCATTTGATCTTTCGGTGTTGTTTTGGAATAATCGTTTCTTTGCGTAGTTTTTTCCTTTTCCTTTTGATTAGCGTGTTGTCCTACCAAATTTGTATCTGAACGTAGATTCGGGTACCAATGAATACGGGATCCTGCGAGATGGAACTTTCTGCATCAGCAGTTTTAATACATGTTCGGCATCAAACCATTTTGTCCTAATATGTGTTTGTGTACCATTCTATTTGATTAATGCCTAATGGGATACACGATCCTTGTCATGCAGTGCAAGTGTGTTTGGGGTCTCTGCCAAGTCGATGCAGTGTTCTTTTGATAATAACGGCAACAGTGTGCCAACGATACTTCTTATGATGCAAAAGCGATTGTATTCAGGAGGAGGCCTTAAAGTAAGTTGGTATTTCAAATTAGTAGCTAAGATTTACTTGTATGCTTCACAGCACCTTGTAACAGAACTGAAGGGTGTATTTCATCATTTTCTGTCTTAAAGGCGGAAGGAATATTCAGAATAACTGCTGAAAACGATCAAGAAGAGCGTCTTCGTGGCCAGTTGAACAAAGGCATCGTGCCGCATGGAATTGATGTTCATTGTTTAGCAGGCTTGATAAAGGTAAAGCATATTTGACATTTCTAAGTGAAACTCCTACATATGCATTTGTATGCTTATTGGAATAAAAAGCCACCGTCTCCTTCAGGATGTTTAGTAATGTCAAGGATGTTTCTGGACTTTCAGTTGTCTCTTCAAGCTTTCAAAATCGCTTAGTGTCTAGATATTTAATGACCCTTTTTTAACTAAACCTTTCATTTATGATATCTAAACTTTTTGTTCTATAGATCTTGGTTTGTGCTCTTTTTTCTTGCTTTTCGTTCTCAACTTCTTTTTCATCTTTTTTCTCCCCTTGTTAAACCCTGTAGGCATGGTTTAGAGAGCTTCCTACAAGAGTACTTGATTCACTCACACCAGAACAGGTGTTGCGCTGCAACACAGAAGATGACTGCACTGAACTTGTGAAGACGCTTCCTCCAACAGAAGCTTCACTGCTTGATTGGGCTATCAATTTGATGGCCGATGTTGCACAGAATGAAGAGCACAATAAGATGAATGCACGCAACATTGCTATGGTTTTTGCACCTAACATGACCGAGGTTTGTAGCCTTTGGTTTCACATGTTTGTTTATTGTTCTACATGTGAAATGTCTGTGGTTGTGATATGCAGTTTTCCTTGTTTGCTTTGAAACTTTGTTCATTTTGAATAATGGTCAAGCTTGACGGTAATTTTAGCTTTAAAGTAGGACTACTGCTAATGATATCGACCAGCGTCAATCTCCTTGGAAAGGTAAAATGAAATGTTGCGGTTCCTTGACCCTCAAGGTGGGTCAAGCGGGTGGGACTGTGTACAACACATTTTCGATGGAAGGCCCTAGTTGAATTTCCACAATAACTCCGTTGTTAGTTACCTGATACCTATGTCAAGCGTAGGCCTGGGGCTTTAGGGGTTTACACGGCCCACCCATTGAAGGATGAGACGGAGTTCCACATCTTCACAAGATTGTTGTTCCTTTGCTATGACTTGGATCTGACAATGATCCGTTGTTTTATAGATGTTAGCCAAGTTTTGTTCTAGTTGTGATTCACTGTTATACAGTTTTGCAACAGGGAGTAGTTGTTGTCGTAATGGCCATAAGACAATCCTCTTTGTTCACGAACAAATATAAGCTTTGCTATGGACTAAACAAAATTCTTTGCTGCAGATGGCAGATCCTTTGACTGCATTAATACACGCCGTGCAAGTTATGAATTTCCTCAAGACGCTGATCTTAAAGATCCTACGCGAGAGAGAGGAATCAGCTGCGGAGGCTACATTGCACTCATCATGCTCTAACCACAACAGACAAACTATGTATTCGATTATGGGTGAATCTTTTGTTCATGATAGCTCATTCATAACCGCCACTTTGGACAGTCCAAAAGCTGACATCGATGAGAAACTTTGGTGCTCTCCGGTAATGACCGATGGGGAAGATGAACTCGAATCCACTTCACACAGCAGCGCATCTACTAAATGTGTACTTGAGTGTTCAGAAAATGAATGCAGAAATGGATACGAAGCTGGAGATTGGTTAAGTTTGAGGAAAGGAGTGCGGAAGCTATGCAGCCACCCGGTGTTTCAGTTGAGTAAGCCGGCTAAGAAGACTGCGAATCTTGATATTGTAAATGCTAGGGGAGAAGGCGGAGAAGCATGGGCATAGAGAAATGGGAAGCAGAGGAGTCTGTTTTTGTTTATATGATTGTGGTTTGTGTAAACATTTCATAGTATAGGTGTTAGCATTTTGTTTTGTTCTTCTAGTCAGATAAAAGGTTTGGAAGGAACTAATTAGAGGTTTGAAAAGGGTAGTGAGCTCTTCTGTATGATTTGACTCACAACTTTGTGTGATTTTAATAACAATGTTGGAGATTTGATAAACAATAGGAATGTTGGAGCTTCATAACAAACAGACCTTTACAGGAAGGGATCCTCATTTTTGGAAAAAAAAAAGGGGATTAATTGTAGGGCTCACTCTACATTGAATTTCAACGGTCCCAACCTTCTATTTTATAAGTCTCGATTCATAGATTATCTATGCAAAAATTCAATTCAATCCGAAAGCATTTGCCATTTTAATTATACCAATGCAATTTCATTGTTTCTTATAGAACAAGGTGTTTGTCAATTTTTTTGAACTCAATTAGATGTCTTAAATATTTCCGATTTAACTAATACTTTGCAAGGATGATCTTAAGAGGTGCAAGCTGAAGAATAACCGGTTCTGATTGTTGAAGTTCGTTGTAATGTGAGCCTTACAACTAATTCTCATTAAAACAACTAATTCTCATTAAACAAGAAAAAAAAGAAAAAAAAGAGAACCCCTTCCTTTAAAGGTCTCCCATAACAAATGCCAATCGGTTGCTTCCATGGTCAAAGCCCAATTCATTTTCTTATGTTATAATTCCTTTGAACGAGCCCAAAACAACAAAGCCTTAAAAGGAAAAAGAAAACTCAGAACAAAGCTTTAGGATATTCTTCAGTTTTGCAAGCCGAGGCTGCAGGCCTTAAACATGGTCTTCTTTGGGCATCAAGGTTGGGTCTCGAACATATTCAGGTGGAAGGAGATTCACAGGTTTTCATCAACATAATTAACGGCAAAGCAGATTTTTTTTGGAGAATTATATCTGTCATGTAAAGATTTCAATTATCATGCGTATCTTTCAAGAAGCCAATATGGCAGATAATGCAGTGGTTGCAAAATAGGACAACATTATCATCATAATTATATTTGGTTCTCACAGTTTCCTAGTGGTATTAAGAGCAGTTCCACCATGGTGTATTACCCAGTCGACTGGGGATGGAACAGGGCCAAATAGGCCAGGGGATAAGGTCCAGCGTATGCCAGCCTGAGAGCCCGAAGGCGACCTGACACAAGCGTCAAGCGTGTGTCTGACACAAAATCAGGGCTGGGGCCCACGACGCTTTTTCTGCGATGTTACCGTTGGGGAGGTTATGTGGCTTCCCCATGTCCGTTGGATTTCAACGACTATATTTTATGGACCGTTGGATTTCCAACGGTAAATTTTTTTTTAAAAACCTCATTTAATTTCAGTCGTTAGATCTGAGATCAATGGTCCACGTAATTAGGCTTTGTAAATTAAAAAAAAAAGAAAAAACAGTTTAAAAATATGAAATGTTACCGTTGTGCCACGTGGCACAATCTGGAGTGTTGGAATTCAATTTTTTTTTTAAAATCCAATGACAGAGATTAATTAGGTGAATAAAAATAAAAAAAATGTAAAAAATTAATAAAAATCTGGAAAAAAATGAAAAATTAAAAAAAAAAATTTTACTTTTATATAAATACCTTCTCATTATCTTCTACCTTACACTACAATTTCATAATTTCTCAATTACTTTCAACTACATTCCTATCTTTCTCTCAAAGTTTCAATCCAATTTTTTTTTCCAACAAATTGACTACTGATGCAGGTACAAATTGGACGCTTTTTTAAGATGTTGCATTGTGTACTAGTTGAGTTGAAGTTACTTATGATTCGATTACGTGTAATGAGATGCAATTGGGAGAAATGTGGAGTCTTATTCATATCAGTTTTCTTAAGAAAATTGGCGAGAAATGTGGAGTCTTATTTATACCAGTATTCTATGAATAATGATACAAATTTTGATTTTAGTGAAGAAGGAAGCAGAAACTATGAATAATGATAGAGATCCTGAGAAAATTGGTGTGAGATTTGTGAGGATGGATGGTGGATTATATGGAGGATTCAGAAAGGATTAGGTTGTAGATAATGCCACATGGCATGCCGTCATTTGTAAAAAATCTGATCGAAATTTATCCTTAAAGATTGTAAACAGATTGTGACACATGGCGCGATATGATTGGTTAAAAATCTTATCGGAAATCAATCACCAATAATTGTATTTTCGGATAATGACATGTGGGGCAACGATAACGATTAAAAATCTTATCGGAAATCCATCACCAATAATTGTCTTTCCGGATAATGACACGCGGCGCAACGAGAACGATTAAAAATCTTATCCGAAATTACAAATAAAATATTTTGTATTATTTTATAAATAAAAAAATAGTAATATTTTATTGCCAATTGCTAGGGCTATTCAGTGTAGGGGTGAAGATTCAAAAAACTGTTACTGTTTATTAAGGGCAGTTACTGTTCATGGAGTGGATAGCATAGTGAATAGCCTGGGGGGCCTTTCCCACGGTGGAACTGTTCTAAAGATACATGTACCATGTTATATATATATATATATATATATATATATATATAAATGATATTCGCTTTCTCCTACCATCTTAATTTTGACATTTGATTTGTTCAGCAAAGGCTATAAGAGGAAGGGGTGTGTAGGAGGAGAAAAATGATGTGCATAAATCATTATATATATAAACGATATTCTATTTTAAGCTAATTTAAATTGCAAAGAGAGTTTGAACTCGGGTACATAAAAGGGGCACATCTATTCTAACTAATGTGACATTGCTTTTCCTTTAAGTGAACAATAACGAGGATATATAGTATTTTTGGGGATAAGAACTTGATTATGGGAAGTGACGTTGCATGCTCAATTAAGGTTTGGATCTTGATTCATCCCCAAATCTTTGACATAAGATATTCTAAATTAGTTTATTACAATTATTTAGACAATCAATAGATTTGTCTTTCTTAGACACAATCACTCTAATTATAATATAATTGTTAAGATTACCGCTACCTAAACGTCACCTTCATGGTATTTTTAGGGTAATAACATATAAAATTTTCCTTAGAACCACAAGCAATTTGAGAGTGACAATTCTTTAAATTTTATATTCAAACGTACACACCACGATTATGCTTAAAAATCGTGGCTATGACAAGCACTATTTTTCTCCAATAGCTATTAGGCCTCGTTTGATACATGATTGATTTAGCCAAAACTATTCACTATTGAAGGAATTTTAAAAGAAGAAATGGATGGCAATTTTCTTATTTTTCCAAGTTGAAAGTTACTCATGAATAAAAAATGTCCCTAGTAATCCTCTAAAAAATGATAGGATTAAAAGGGAAAAGTACTTCATGAGCAATAAAATAAGGAGTTTGTCATATATTTCTTCTTTTAAAATACCTTTAATATAGTAAATAATCATATCCAGATCAATCATCTCTAGCCTAATTCTGTTGAAGTCTCACCGAGATACATATAGACCTTTACTCCAAAAACCCAATTTTGTTTCCTCTTTCCATATTTTTATTTGCATCTCACGAGCTGCAAACAAAGCAGGATTTAAGGTTTTGAGTTTTCTAGACCTTAGACTGAGGGGATCTATTAAAAGAACCCCATGCACATAAGATTGAAGGGCACTTTTGAAAGAATTTTCTTCTTGTCTAGGTTTTCATGTTGTTAGTGGTAATTTGAGGGATGAGTTCAGTCTAAAAACTTGGGTTAGGGGCGGAGTTACATGTAGTTTGGGTGGAAGAGAATCAATTGCTCTTCTACCCATCTAAACCGAAATGTAAACTGTTCCTTGGTTATTTTGGGGGCTGCACAACTGAGATAAACACTATCTTTTGTAAGTGCTCTTTTCATTGTGGTGGATCTCCTTCTTCGTCTCCAAACTGAATGTATCTAGGCTCATTAAACGCGAAACAGCATAAAACTTAGTGTTCTTTGGTTTTTTTTCTTCACTAATTTATCTCTTGCCTAGTTGTTACTTCTCTTACACATTTCATGTATAGGCTAACAAAGGTTTGGTTATGATCTGGTGTTGTATTTGTATATCAACAAGAGCAAGATATAGCTTTGGAGGAGAAATATGTAGATGCAAACTACGGTTATGGTATTTGTTAGTGTAAAGATAAAGAACTGTCAGATTGTGACAAGTGTCAAAAGATGAAGGGATAAGGTGGTTGTGGTAGTTAAAACAGTTAGTATAGAAGACTTAGTGAGTAAGGAAAGTCACATGTATATATACTTGTATTATGTAATGTAAGAATTCATTCATTCAATACAGAAAGTATAATTCAGCTACAATTCTCTCTCTAAACTCGTCTATTTCTCTCTCTCTCTCTCTAGATTACATAAGAAAACTCTATTGATATTCTTCACAGGATGAAGATTAACATGGTATCTTCGCCGGTTCTTGGACTCTGAGGATCATTGTTGCTTCCGCTCTCAATCTTTGAAGTTTTTTTTAGTGATCTAATTTGGAGTTATTTGCTGTTATCTTTCGAGTCGAGATTCGTGTCTGCCATCGATCTTGATTTACACAGTGTATGCAACCATGTCCGCCAAGTGTTTGATGAAAGGTGTGACTCAATTTTTCCATGTTGCCTTGGTGATTTCTTGCTGAATCTCGGTCTCGATTTGTGTTCTGTTCGTCTGCAATTCGGTGACTGCTTCTTCAACTCTAGATTTCTCAATTTCTTCCAGCAAATTCCTTGATTCTCTGTTACATTCTGCAACACAATGGTGACAGCTGCACAATTGAACATAGTTCAGTCTCCGATCACGAATTTGATTACAAATGTGTCTACTTTTGTTACTGTTAAACTTGATGATACAAATTACCTTGTTTGGCAATATCAACTTCGATTGCTTCTTGAAAGTCATGACATTTTAGGCTTTGTGGATGGTATTAGGCATTGTCCTCCTCGATTCATTGAAGATGCTACAATTGAAGGTGTTGAGACTGATGACTTTCAAATTTGGAAAATGCATGACCGTGCATTAATGCAACTTATCATTGCCACATTGTCTCCTACTGCTATGTCTTGCGTTATTGGTTGCTTGAGCTCTAATGACATGTGGATCAGCCTGAAAGATAGGTTCTCCACTGTCACCAAAGCTAGTATTTTTCAGTTAAAAACGGAGCTGCAGAATATTAAGAAAGGTACTGATTCAGTTTCTACATA